GAACAAGTCGTGTCGGAAATACTTCAATTTGACAGGCATACCAGTTGCTGTCAATCGCCGTGTTGAAATCCGGCAGTCCGACGGAGTCTAGTTACGCCTTGAGAGCCCTGCTGTTCTACTGCTGAACAGCTTGTGACAATTGCGTAGAAAGGACTTAGCGAGCATTTCCGGGATGTCAACACATGTAACGCAGGCAACTTCGTTGTGCAATGGCTCGTTCATGACGGCGTTCAAAGTTCTAGAGCACCAATTCAATCAATTGCTCCTTAAACAACATCAATCTTCACCACAACAGACAGAGTCTCGGTATAACCACGACCTTATCAAAGAGCTTTACTTTCCAAACATTGGTATGGAACAGGGGAGGGCGATGAAACATGGAGATGCTGATTAATTCATATTAATATGGGCCGTTTTGTTTATACTGTGGACTGATCCTCAGATCCAAAGACACAACAAAACAATCAAACTCAAACTCAAACAAATACCCACCTGACTTACAACAAACGATCTACTGTAAGTGAAACTTAGGGGCAAGAATCCCAAGAACACCAACACAAAACATCAGTTACAAGTTACAAGGAACAAACGTTGAACACCAATATTTAAAACAAACAACACATAGCAGCCAACAATGAACACTGGGATGTCCCAACATCCTCATTTCACCATGTTTTTTGGGGTGTGATTGTGGCAAGCCGAAGGGTTTGCAACATGTGGGAAATTGCAAACAGTTAGCCTAAAGGTTGCGAAGAACACCTGGAGAAAAGCATATAAAAATAGCAATAAAAAACGATTGTGGGAATTGTGTCAATCATGAATTTTCTTATGAATGCTTTCTTAGGAAAACACGGGCAGTCTCAATAAGTGAATGTGTACGGGACAGGAAGGGTCCCAAGGAACAATGACGATTTCTTCGGTGTTTCTGGGCACACCTTAGATTGGCCATGGTGGTAGGGAGAGTGCTGTGGACCAAGTGAAACGCTTTGCCCAGATTCCTCTACTTTTGAGATGGAACAAACTCAGTTGTCCAACCACTGGTCTTAACATTTTCGTCCCCTACTAGATGCTGAAGGTCTCGGGGTTGAATTCTTCAAGACCTGCTGATATAATTCTCTATGCGAAACTTCCCGGGAGCTTCGGCCAAAGGCACGGCTGATGGCACACCCATCCACGTTTCGTCGTTCTCGTCGTTTTCGACGCGGAGCAGGTTCCGACCCTTCTCGAGCCGCTGCGAGGACGGCCGTGACGGTTCCGCAGGGTTCTTATGCCCGGCTGGGCCGGGAAGCCTTCAAGCTTGGTTCACTGAGCTTAGTAAGGTGCGCAGTCAGCCCGTAGTGTTCACCTGTGAGGCAGACAAGGAGGTGGCCACGAGATTGCTGCTGTTCATCAACATTGAGGCAATTCATCCATTTTGAGTCCCTTAGGTTTGGCACCAGCGGGCCTTGGTCGCTCTTGCAGGCCAGCGGGCCTTTCTCGCGCGTGTGACATGGGACTATCGGCCGTGACAGCCAAAACTCTCATCAGGTCAGATTATGTGGAGCATGACCTGAAAAGACCTGAATGATGAAGGTGCTAGATTGCCACTTCCGCGGGAAATCTGGTACGCCCGAACTCACGTTCCATGGAAGTGGAAGTCGAACACTTATGGCCTACAGGTTGTTTTCAGAAAAGTCGTTTTACCCGGGGGCCATGCCACCCACTTCCATGAGAGTTGGAGCGTCACTGTCGCTCAGTGACAGTGGGCACCTGTTGTGTCTGGTTTGAAGGAATTAGTTTGTTCGGCTTCAGGACAGTTTTGTTCCAGACATTTGCAGACCAGAAGCCTGAAACCATACAGTATATCCAACTCATAACCCTTTGGCGATGTGTTGAGTTCATTTGGCCTTAGCCTAAGCGATTGATGGGGCTGTCCACAATAGCTTAATCACAATTTGAGGATGGGTCAAGCCATGCTGAAGGACTTGAGTGTAGCGCCATCAATTCTGCTTTGCAGTAGTTTGCTATTAACCTTTGGGGTGTGGACTGGCCCAACCTAAGCCATGAGCCACCCCAATACTCACGGGATCTTACGGGCAAACCTTTTCCCCAGTGAATTAGATGACAGTGACAGTAATCTCTCATTTGCCTTGGTTAGGACATGAATGTTCGGATCGATCTTTTTGAGGCAGATGATGTTGCTCGTTGGGCCGCCTTAAACAGGTGCTTGTTGGCAAGGCGTCACATGTCAACGCATGGAAACTGCTTGCGGGATCTTGCGGGTCTCGAAAACCTCTTCAGCCTACCAGTTACAGATGAAAGACATGTACCTCAAGAACAGGATGAACGCTTCAGTTTGGGACCATTGGTCCTAAAGACCAGCAGGGTTAGCCTCTTCCGTGCGCTGGCGCAGCTCCAGTGTTTGAGGCTTGGGACTGGGAGCACTGGCCGCCAAGGTGCATATCTTCCAGCAACTGTTGTGCGCGTCGCGGCAGCCACTTTGGTCAACCAATGAAAGTGAAAAACCTCATCCAATCCCAATCAGTGGAGGGATAGAAGTTTGATTCCCTACACCCAGGGTTGGACAATTGCCCCACTGCAACCAATCAGATCAATCAGTTTATGTTTCAAGAAGTGTGTTTGGTTTGGGATCGAATCTAGTTGAGGACACGAATCCCAAACTGCATCGTCACTCACCCCATGCTGCTCGTATATCATTAGCTCCGATGTTGGGGATCAATCCAGTGCTGCCAGATAGACGCTGCACCCTCCCACCATTCTTAGGATGGACTCTCCAACAAAGTTCCTGCATGAAGTACCTACACCTACACCTCAACTATAATTATATATAGGTAGGACATCTCCAAAACATGTTTAGTGTTGAATCGACAAAGAATAGCACCAAGACTGATAACTTGTCACTCTCAAAGGAAAACTGAGATAGATGCACAGGCACAGAATAATCACAATTCACTCATGGTTCATCATGTTTTCTGCACACTTGCGCATCCTCGCATCATCCTCTCAGTCAGTTTCATGCAAGCAAGCGTTCGGTGCAATGCATTCTAAGCCTTCGTCCTGACAGTCTTGAAGAATTCTGCAAGGGATGCCAGGTATGAGTTGATCAGTTTCCAGGCGTCCCGTGTTGTTGCCCACTCACGTTTGTGCGGAGGGCTGCCCAACTACCCACACCTCCGCAACCACCTCAACGGCTCCGCACCGGCCAGGCATCTTCTTCGCCCGCCCGGGCTGAAAGCCGGCAGCGAAGCCCAACCGATTTTGCCCAAGTTCCGACAATGCACTAGGAGCAAAGGACTCTACTAGGAGCAAAGGGCATTGCTATTAGGAGGAAGGACGCTACTAGTAGCTCCTGTAGTAAATTGTCGGATGAACCATGTGAACCACAATTCTGTTCGGCAAGCTTGGGCATCTCTACTATGCATTTATGCTACGGCTACAACTGAGTGGTTTGGAATATGCTCAGGGATTTTCCAGCGCCCTATTCGGGACAGGCTACCAAATTCCAGTTGAACAACAACAATATATATATACACATAATTGAGTATATAGTATATAGTCAGTGTATATATATATATATATATTTGGAATTATTCGGAAAGTATGGCGACAGATCCGATGAGAAAGCTGGTCAGGTGCCCCTAGTGGGCCCATATACCCCCGTACGGAGAGAACCGACACACTGCACGTGGTGTCGGTGAACCGAACGGGTCGGACAGGTGGTTCACCTTATAGAGATCACCCAGAAGGTTCCAAAGGCAATCACGAGTTTGACCAGTGGCCCCTGCTTTGAGCTACATGGACTATCACTGACTCATTTCATTGCCCCGGTGTACCCAACTGGATGGACATGATCACACTTTGAAGCGGATGCACAGACGTTCTGTCTATTGCGAGTCACTCACTTCCTTTCAATCTATATAGTTCAAGAAAGTTGTCTCATTCTCATCAGTGATGAATCCGACTTCTCCTCTTTGGAGCGCCCGGTGCATTTGACTGCCATGACAGCACTTGCATCAGTGACAGACCACGCAACGTTTGTGACCTGCTGCATTTTTGCAGCAAGAACAACAACCACGACTTTGCACTTTGCACTCTTGAGCTTAGGCGGAACTTGTGCATTGTGGGAGAGGCCGGATTTGCTAATGGCTAGATCCCATTTGCTGTGGCACAACTGGTTTTGGATGGTTTTAGATATGTTTCAATACACAAGCATGGGAAATCCTGTCTCAAGCTTTCAACCCACGGGGCAGGACAATTCAATCCAGCTGGCAGCTACTGTAGTTGGTCTATGTAGGTCAGTTTGCAGGTGGATGACCAGCAGTATCGTGGTCAACAGCCATCAGACATGACATCAGAACCTTTTGCTTGGCTGCGATTGCAAAGTGTTATTGTGGAGTCTGAGCGGTGGCATACTTGCGCTAACCATATGAGAATCTCATTCTGAACTTCTGAGACCATCTCCGCCTTTCTCAGGGGTTCAAGGCTCCTAGGGCGCTGGATGTGCCAAGAGAAGTTGCAAAAACCAAGCTTGGCCACTCAAACAGAAGAGGGTCACTCATCAGCCTATTTCGTTTCCACACAGCCACAACCGCCACAACCACAACCATTTCACAACACACCGGGTTGTGGCCGCGCCGAGTAGCCTGTTTTCCATTCAATGCGCGATGTCGCACCATGCGGGTGCCTCAAACAAGGCTGCCTTGGAGAAGGCGCGCTCGTTTGCATCACACTACACCCCCCGTCTTGGGTGGTGAAGATCCTGTGGACGAGGAATCTAATCTGTCCTTGTCGCACCACAGTCATGACCCACAAGATGCCCCCAATGCTTGAAAGATTGCACAAGCCCACGTGCCATCTGTGTGTGTAAAAATTGATCGTCTACATGCCGTGTCAGCAGCTTCCGGGGTGCCCCCATCTCTGAACATCCCCTCCTTAGATGTGCGATGTTCGCAGATGTTGCTTCAGAGGTTTTCTACGAACGGTACTTGTTCCCATGTGTCCTATTGATGTTTCTTTCCCCTCCTCGGCCTCAGGACAATGTTCCCATGTTCACCCCATACCGACCACAGTGCGTCAAGAAGTCAGCTGATACAGTCGTTGCCTGCCAGATTCTTCTCTATTTGGCTGTGGCTAGCGTTCAGCTGCCACCTTCTTGTTTGCGCACCTGTGGCTAGCGTATCCCAAGCATCCCACTGAAGAGTCCTCACAGGACTTGGGCGAGCTGAAAGCAATTGTGAACAGCTTGCGGAGTATGAGCCATGTCGTGGTCGGTAGCCTCAGTGATCCATAGGTCCATAGCGTTCTAATAATTTTTTGGACATGAAGGAAGGGCGGCAGTGGCTCAGGGGTATGGGAAACAAGGAGCTATTAGGATAACCAGAGTGACTTTGTCCAGCAGATACTCTTTGGATGGAACAAGAAAACAAAATGCTCCAAGGTCTCCAAGGTCTGATATCTCTTTTGGATGGCACCATGCTGGAACCCCCAAAGGGCAGAATTAGTGTACTCAACTCGGATTCGTAAAAATGTGTCGTTTTTAAACTGTGCCCCGCCTGTTTTTATTGAATCAGGGAAGATGGAAGTTCCGTTCCGCCGACAGACCGAGGGACGTGTCCGGGTCTTGAGTGAATGGCTTATAGTATAGTTGTTCATGGCATGCCCTTCCATGGCATGCCCACCGTCACCAGCAAATTTGGAGGGACTGGGAGGAGACTGGAACCGTCAGTTCATCATTTGGAGTGCGAGGGGTTGCGTAAGGATACGCCGGAACGTTAAATAAGGGTCGGCCCTGATAGACACGACATTCCACGACTTTCTTGGGAATAAGGTGATGACCGGACCTTAATCATTCTTATGTGCTGTACCGACATGCCACATTGTCATTAATTCAGGAAGTCACTTCAGCTGGGGTCTCGGACTCTAGACTTGTTACCTCAGAAAAGGGCTGAAAAGTGGTTTGCCACACAACTGTCGGCTTTCGATCTCCTGTCTCTTTGTCTCTCCACGTTGGCCCTTGGATTCCATGCCTTCCCGACGATCCAGGGCTTAAAGATGACCAAGATCCATGAATCCGCTGTGGACAGCGATGAAAAGAGCAGAAAGGTCTCACAGGTGGGCTCATGGTGGGAGGGTGCAGTTGGCTCAGCTCAGTTCAGTGCATTTGTTTGAGGAGAACTCTATTCAAAATTGACATCCAACGTAGGACCTAGCCCCTTCCGGGAAGAATTCATGTAGAGGGCATAGTAAAACACAGATGATGGGACGCACTGTGTTCACCTCACAAATTAGATGTTTTCAGTATCACTTTTTGGGAAAAAGCAATGCCTGCGCCTGAACCGTGGATTTGGAACACGAAACCGTGGAGTTGATACTTCCAGATCTTTTAGCATGGGAACTCGGTGTGCAGGAGGTATCTATAGACCAACTTCGACCGTTTCTCGACATGATGAAGCTTGAGAGGACCATCCTCATGACGTGCTTCATCTCTCCACACTGCTGATTGGGTGAAGAACCGTAGAGAACAAACTTGGTTTCCCTCCAAGAGATCAACATGCTGGAACCTAACCTTTTGGGCTTCGGAATGAGTTCCGCTTGGATGGCTTAGACTTCAAATGTTCCAGACTGAACATGCTTGAACATGTTGAAACGAATTGCAGGACGCATGCATCAGTCCCGACATGTTCAAATTGAAAAACCACGCTGCCTCGGACGGTTTTCTGCTTCACCGGTGCCTACCTCTCGCGCCCCCCGCCAGGCGGTCGTCTCGAAGCTGGAGCCTCTCGCGGAGCCTGGGCGTGGACGGCACCGGTGGGGGCGGAGTGGGAGATCGGTTTGTGAGTTGGGTCAACCCAGCTAGTGCGATGAGTTGAGAGGATGACCAGTAGGATGGGGGGGGATCCTTTTTCGGGTGCGACCCGTAGTCGTCTGATGCAACCCGTAAGATGTCCCATCCCAGGCAATTGTGTACATGGATTTGACCCCAATTAGGCTACATTCCTCCCAAGGACCTCCTAAGAAGTGAGGCATCGGCATCGTGTTCTTAGTAGAACTTGCTCAACGGCTCATAGACTCAGCACCCGATTCGAAGGTTCTTTCGACCGGTCTCCCGCGGGAGACGGGGAGACCGCGACCAGTCGGTCGGTCACCGGTCGGTGGGTGGGGATTTTCCCCATGAGGAACAGATCAAGAACTATGTGACGCACTTTGAAGTGGAGCTGAGGAAGGCCATGGTCAGATTTGTTGGATCAATTGGCGCCTGAGGAAGGCCATGGTCGGTTGTTTGAGGTACAGCGTGCACCAGCACCTCCCAAGCAATTATGTTCTTATAGTGTCTATGGGGGAGATCTCTATATATCACTTGTCTCACTTTTTGGTTGCCGCGCACAGACGTGGCAGCCTTGCTTCCTGACAGACTATATCCAGCCGGGTTGGGTCTCTATATATATATATATATCTATATTTGTAAAGAATATATATATATATATGTATGGAGCCTTGTAGCACTTTCTTTGATTTGTTTTGGGATTCAATATGGTTCAATACATCATGGTCCAAGCGACCCGTTGCTCACCGCAAGGCCATCAGTGATGTGGAGCAGATGGACGCGAACGGAACGTGGCTGGGCCGAACGGAGACCGGAGCGGTTGTCTTGGGCGGAAGGGGATCGAAGCCAGCCTCCACCCTAGTAGCGATGGCATCCGCAGAAGAGTGATGGCCTCCAACCTACTAGCTTCTTGCTACTAGTAGCAATGGCAAAAATAACTTGTCTATCCATGTCATTCCGGTGGGATGTTTGGAACTTCAGTTGTTTGGGATTCTGTAAGTCTTAGGTATTCAGGTGCTCAAAATTGCTTCGGGACGGCCCAGGGTGTGTTAAACGCGGACGAAGCAACCGATGTCCGGAACAGATTGCCAGTTGCAGCTTGGGAGCGCCTTGAGCCCCTGAAAGAACGGAAGTCGATTCGAACCAATTTGCAGTGACATTGGTGTCGATTCGGGAGACCCCGGAGTACTACCCGGAGTATATAACAAGACCCTTCAGATGCGATTCTACCGATTCTACCGTCGACCATAAAATAGACCCTTCAGATAGTAATTAGTATAGACCCCTCAGATACGATCCAACATGATCCAATACGACCCAATTTTCTCCAGGTCCAAACCGGTCCAAACGGTCGGGGGCCGGGCCGGTCGCTCCACCGAGTCACCCATGGACGCATGCTGCCAGGACGGACTTGAAGCTACCCGGCATCGAGAAGCGCAACGAGGTGCGACCGACGTGCCGGCACTTCGAGTGCCGACGTGCGACCTGGCCTGGCGGTGCGAGTAAAGCAACCCAGTTCAACGGCAACCAGTTTCTGTGCCAGGAGGGATCCGGAGCAAACGGTGGTCCCTCCATGATCTGCAAAAAGATCTTTGCGACCGGTGTAGGACCAGCTTGTTGGGAAGATGCGAAGCAATTAGCAATTGAAACACGCACCATAGACCTTTGTGAGATGTTGGTTGTGTGTGTAGTCTTGCTCTGCAACCTGAGGACCTGGGTTCATCGAAATGAATGGATAGGGATTCACTTCATTGGCGCTCCACTGGGAGCAAAAGGGGCCTCAAAGAGTTCAAGTTTCTGGTATTTTCTGGTACCTCGTCCGGGGAACCGGGGAACCTCTCTCTCTATGTCTATATTTTAAGTTAACTAGAGGGAGTATATGGGAAGTACATGTATATAATAGATATGAATTGATATGAATATGAATTAAGATATCAATTACGTGATATACATATCCTAAAAATATAGATCGGTGAATCGACCTCCGACCAGTGTCCAGGGTGGTCCCTGCAGCAGGGCTTGGAGTAGAAGGCATTTGCAGGTACACCCAAGGGCGGTCTACCATATGTGTGAGTCACTTATGTGTCATTTCTGTTGATGGGCCGTCACACCGAACGCATGGAGTTTCCAGCTTCCATTGTGGAATTTTCAGCCACCAAGAGTTGGACCTGGCAGCTCCATGGCCGAAAAGCAGCTCCCTCCAGGCGAGCGCAGTGGCCTCAGCGTCTTTGGGATCTCCCGGGTCCTCGCCCACGCGCTCGTCGCCACCGGAGAAGTTGAGCTTCCCCC